ATTGTATTGATATTGTAAGGAGAAATTCTGTTTTGGTCTCTCATGGGATTTAAAGGGTTAAGGAAGGTCTGGAGATCTCAACCCATTGTCTTGTATCATTCCATCTGGTATCATATTAGCAAAATTGATGGTAAGCTTCAAAATTCAACAACAGTAATGTATTTCCTTGAATGAGCACTGAGGTACTTGCTTGAAATTTTGGCTGGAAGCAGGGGTGCTTATTTGAAGGATGGGGCTTCATCAAGATGGATGCTTATAAAGAAACTGTTAGCCTGTACCAATTCCATTGTAGTTAATGCTTATTCAAGGAAATACCACATGTTACTTAATTCAAAATATTCACATCATCATCATCATCATCATCATTACCACTGCCATCATCACTTTTACTGGACTTCTAGTCAAAGGCAAAATATAAACTTTTCAAAAATAATTCTAATACTTTGAACCTGACAAAATGATAGAAAAGAGCTCTATGGATGGAGATAAAACAAACAGCAAGAATCTACCAGAACCAAATGCCAAATTAATTCAAAAGCTGGTAACAAAAATAGTTTGAATAATACATTTCTCTAAAAATGCTACCTTATTGTTAACCCTTTTCTTTTTCTTTGGTGATGGTTCATCATCCTAAGACATGCAAAAAATTATAATCAACAATTATTTTAACAAATATATAACACAGAGTTGTAATTACAGGCTTCATGGTTCCCTAACCCTACCATGGGTGCAAATTTGAAAGTTTCTTCTTCTGAAGTCATTAATGATGGATGGGAAAAGTTCCAATTGAAGTTCACTGTATTGCTTAAAAAATTTAAATTTTAGTATATCTCACAAAAAGATTGGCCTAGCTACAATTCACGTACCAATTAGTTGACAGAGTCCTATTTATCTGTAAAATAACACTCCAGTCTCTCCCACTCTCTAAATTATTGGCCCGAGCCAAGGGAATGGCAAGGGAATATCAAAGGGACGCAAAAGTTGGTGATTCCATGTTTTGTTGCTGTATAGGATGGCTAAGAAATGTACAAAGTTTTAAAATGCATGTGCTGTGCTGTTATTTTGCTTGTTAGATCTTCTGTTTTGCTATGTTCTTGTTGCCGTTGCGGTCGTGTTTTTCCTACAGTCCCTATTGCAAACACTCTCATACCTCTAATGATTCCTCATCTTCCTTGTCATCTTCTTCCTGTGTCACTCCATTTATTTCAGAGGTTCCATTTTCCTGTTCTTTGTCATCTTCTACTTCTCTTGACGTTTCAATCATATCCATCAACATTGCATCAATTTCTTTCTTCCTACAGAAAATGTATTTTGACAATTGCAAGGGAACCACTAAGCTCATGAGCCGCTTCATCCACAAGGTTTGTGATAATTCCAGATCAATGTCACTCCACATCTGAGAAACTGTACTCCTCCCCTAACCCAACACTAACTGTAGCTTGTTATCAGTTGACTGTGGTTGTGCTAGGGGAGGGGTAGGTGAACTGTCCCTCAGATACTGACTTTGAATGACAATTTCTCACAAATTCAAAACCTAACCATTGCCCTACTTAGTTGACATTACAAGGAAGACACATTGGGAGAAAAAAATCACTGCATCATGCAGCCAGACCACCAAAAAAAAGTAAAACTGATTTTGCAAGGTTTTAATACCAAGATAAATTTCTGTCACAATGACAAGATTTTAACAAAATGTATCCATGTCACATAAGGTGAAATTTTTTCTGAAACTTGCCCTCACCATGTGTTACAGTCACTTTTTAAAAAGAATTCCCATTTGTTGCCAAGACATGTACCTGCTACTTGTTGCCATGCCTTATTTCACACCATAATAACTCCACTATATATGCAACATGGAGCTTAAACATTGTAGAATGCATATCTTGAGAAAAGATACCATATGTTAACCATTCGACTCCCAAGATCTTCTTTTTAATTCTCCCCTCTAGCTGATACACATAATTCCCTGTAAATAAGTTATAAGAATTTGGTGCTACATCAAGATAGCAGCTTCCACCTGATAAGTTTAAATAGTCTCATTCCCTGTTTGCTGAATATTGTATGGATATTATAGGGAGAAGTTTCATGTTCATCACTTCGGGGAGTTTAAGGGTTAAATTAAAAAATAACTTACAGTACAACAAAGAAACATTTTTTCGATAAATGGTGCATAGTGGATGAACCAAGGTATAGGCTTTATACAGTGAAACATTTAGAAAACCCAAAACCCATTAAGAATGGCTGAAAATATTATTTTTGCCTCAAACATTCCAACAATGATTGGAATTGATTTTAATAGCCATAATGGCTAATTGTCTGTTTAAAAGTTCTGATTTTTGGTGAAAGTAAATGACAACTCTCCAGCTCTGCAGAAAAGTTTAACCACATGATGAAAGCGAGAAAAAGAATTAATCAGGATTTATAAACTAGTAAATTTATTCTTAATTCCTACAAGTATCGTTTTTATATCAAATCAACAAAAAAAATATAAGCTTGTTTACAATAAGAAATCAAATAAAATTATTTTCAAACGGTGAACGAAGGACCGATAGTTGTCGAGTCTCATATGGATGGAGCGTTAATCGTAGAATTAATTGACTAAGGAATCAACTAATTTCAAAAATTATCAATAGTTAAAAATGCAATTAAAGCTTAACCATTGATCCCGACGGAATCTGATACGATTTTATGCATTATCGAGTTGAGGTTTTACCGAATAAATTTTGTTTATCTTCAGTTTTATTCTCCAGTTTATCACGTCTCTGGGCTGCAGTTTTATGGGAGAAGAATCAATTCATACCTTAGGGACCTTAAAGCTTTTAACTGGGAAAAATGTCAGAATACTTTGGGCGGCCATCAAGTCATCATTAAGTTGCATGACGAATAATTCCCCTGCGGAACAACACGTGTTTGGCTCAAACTAGATACTTTATTTTTTTCCTCGTCATAGTTTCTTCTGTGTAAACAACTAAAGCAAATTGAAGCTAAAATCAATCGTGTTTTCACACTCACCGGGCAAGAAAGCTCACGCCAAACTTATCTTCCAGTTGACGGCGAACAATTCTCGACGTTAGCTGGGAGAGTTCACCATCGCGTAAAATGTCTAGAAATCAAGACACGAGGGAGCTTAAACCCTTAATTGTTATGACTGTGTAAATTCTTCGACATAAGCTTTCGTTTGCGTAGATAGGATTGAATACCTGCCAAAGCAGACTTGATTTCAGCATCCGATGGTTCGACGGCCATCATGTTTGTTGTTGTGCCATGTGCAACGAGCCAGCAAATAATCGTAGCCGCGATCAGCGGATGATAGGATCTACAATTAGTACCAAGGAGAGGTAATTGAGAAGTGATTACTGTATCGAGCTGTTTAGGAATCATGTGGCCCACTTTGGCCAACTTGCGGATAAAATAATCAAGAAATTGATGTTTTTTAATTTGCTACTGGTCTTGTAGCATGCAAGGTTGTTCTTATGTCACAATGCTTTATTTGTCCGCTTTTGTTGAACACGTACAACAAACACATACGTTTGCCTATTCCAAAGAACATACATGTTGGAAGCTTGATGGCTCATATAACAACAAAAGGTGTTTCAATATTCTCCTTTCTCCATGGGAGACGTCGGAGGAGTGTTAAAAGTATGGAATCTTTTGCTCACTTTCCGACCATAGGTTTTCAAAAGGACCTGTATGTTTGTATGCTAGCTACCTCACGCCGCCATAGTTGTCTATAAAATTACAGTTTTTTATTTAAATCGTGCAATCGTTGAGTCGTTTAAGGGTGCATTCATTATATCCATGATTTTTTGCGAAATTCAGCGTTGTTGATGATCGTTTCAAATTTAACAAGATATGTATCACGTGCCCAAACGTCATGGAAATCACACGTCAATTCTGAGGTGTTATTGGTCCAATGACAATCAAAAAATCACGAGGGACCGAAGGGCTGGAAGCGAACCAATCAGAGGAGAAAAAACAGAGCGTGTAAATTCACATAGCGCAGGATTCAGTGTTCCACGTGGAGCGAACTTTTTATGGCAACTCGAAAGCCAACACAAAAACTAATATGAGCTTTGCACATTTGGCTAGCTTTCAAGCTACAGAGTTCGTGGACCGGCCCATTCTGAAAACGTTCGACATCATTTTGTATGTGAGATGAGCGTATAAGACAGGAATCTTTTCAAAGCGGTCCTCACAAAACACAGCATTCTGAAAATTAGGTTGCTTACGAAGAGCGAGCACATGACAACACAAGTTGTCGCTCTCTCATTCCCATTTTCCGCGGCTTACGCAAGGAACGCCTGGGACCATGATCCCCCTTTTGGCGTTAAAACTCGGGCTTTCCTACGGAAATACGAGTAAAAACGAATTTTCAGGGTGGCCACGGGGCAGTAAATATGACTCCTGACGGACCAAAATTGTTAAGGAATACGCTCTGTTCCAAGAGAAACAAGCTATTCCTATTACTATTCCTATCTGGTCCTCTTTACCCACTGTTCCTCTGGTCCTTTGTACCCACTAGTCCTCTGTACCCACTGTTC